CGACATAAAAACTGAAACGCTGAGCTATTTCCTTTAGCTGACAAGTTTCTATGATAGCTGACGCCATCACCATATAAAGGATAACGGATAAAGCATCCGGTATCAAATTCCTTCTGGGAGGCGCCAGCATTCAACTTCAATTCGGAATCGCAGTAGCCTTCAAAATGGGATTGGCCTTATACAGCGAGTTGCGGGGCCAGCCGATGTACAAGTCAGTGTTTTTATCCTCCCAGACAAGTCTGGTACCAATTAACCGACCCCGGAGGGATGGAAGGCTTGGTTGGCCCGGGCGACTCACGACCCAGGATTTGATCCCCGGACCGCTCGCGTGGTGAGCGCGCCACTTGGTCCTACACCACTTTCGTCCAAGCAGCACATACAACTGAAAACTACTCACATCCATAGCAGCTCTGTCTCCATTGAGTTCCATTCGTGAATGAGCTGCTGTGGGAAACCGAAGTTGTGTGACGTCGACCTACACACGGCCGTAATGCTATACAAGCCTTATGCAATAATCCTCCGCAATCTGGAAATAAGCAGCAAATAATCAGAAAATTAGAAGTGGCTAGCATTTCAAAACAACTCACTTTCACACTTATAGCCCTGGAAGAAGAGTCCTTTGAGAAACTTCTCGCATACAGTGCATTTATAAGGCACGTCTACTTTAAAACTTTTGTAATGCACTTTGTGACCGGTTCCTTCTACTTGTTCCGGCAAGACGTTACTCCTTGAAGAAGATCTAATATACTACTTAGATATATGTGAACGCAGAGTAAAACAGAGGAACTAGACCAGCTTACCGGGCTAATTCAAAGTGGTTCAGCCATTTTTCTCGTTGTTGTAAAACTTTGAACGCCAGGGTTAAGTGCCTAACCGAGTCTTGAGAACACGCCCGCTCTTCTCGTACCAAATACAACAAATGTTGATTGGCGGATGTGATTTTACTGAAAAAAAAATCAAATTTATAGGACAAAACGAAGCAACCTTCGAAGCAACAACCCACATCAAATTGGTGGAGGAACTGCGGTCGGTAACGAAATTGTGAATGTCTATTCAACTAAAATAAAAAAGCAAAGCAAACCGCCGATAAAGCTTAAAACAAAAACTCTCTTTTTTTCTCCCTTGAATGAGGGTGGGTCGAGCCGAATGATTTGTCCGAACTTACTTGCTCCATGGCTCCACTAACGCGCGCGCTCGACTGCGTCGTGATTCACCATGATGTTAATGGTGTGCGAGGTATCTCGTCCATTAGCTCACATTAGCCGTCATTAGCTCATTTTAAGGCCCTAGCGCCATTGTCGCGCACTTTCGAGCCGCGACAACGGCACAACTGTGATACTCGCGGCTACTCCATCCACCCACAGAACAGATTGCTCGACACTACCTCATCTGGGGTTGTTGCTGTGAATGGCTTATGTACAAGTGGTTGTTCACGAAAAACTAACCGCGATATCGTCCCCATTTTCCCATCAGGCATTGGATTGTCCAGACTTGGATGAAGTTCGGAAACAATATAAGCGGCTTTGTAAGTATAAGTGTTATTCTGAAAATGAACATTTTCTCAAAAAAAAATCACAGACAAGCATATCAGCGGAATAATTCAAGTGTATTTACCCGGTTTGCTTTACAGATGATTAGCACTTTATCGAAAATGAAAACGTGGACGTTGTTTCATCTTCCCACATTGCTGACTCGTCGATTCCGCCAACCGAACCTCGCCGTCAGCATTTAATCGACCATAATCCATTAGTGTGACATCCTCCGGCTAAAATTCGTTAATTTAGGAGTCGCTTTAGCTGATTTCCTGGTGCTACGGTAACACTCATATCTTCGTTGAAACACTTTTCCAGCCATAACTTTTTTATATTGAACCGATATTATAGAAAATTTCGATCATGATTGCTAGGTAACGTAATCCGGATCCAGTCGGGCATTTTTTTTTACGAAAAACGGAGAAACCTGCAGCGGGTATACATAAAATTACTAATCCTCGAACAGAACCGCCAGCATGGCTTGATATCACAGGAATAGCACTGCTGTAATTCTTATAGCCCTTATTACGAGACTTTTTCACATTCTTTAGTTGCAAGAGAATCGTGGTGTGTCACAGTTTGGAAACTTGGAATTAAAGAGCATATTGCCAGGACATGCTCAAAGGAAGCCCATAAAACTGAGAATTGACTGATAAGATTCAGCATATGTTCAGAAAAACTGAGAGGAATATTAAACAAAAACAATAATAATTAAAATAAATATACATAAAAAGAAGCTGAAACCAACAGATTAAATGTAAGCATATAAACAGGCCATGCGCAAATTACTCAAAGGACGCGTGATGGCATATATATTACCACTAATCACGTTGAGAAGCAAAGCACGTGATGCTTAGCACCCTAGCCTGTTGAACGCAGGCCTCAATTAATATCGCAGCGAAGAAAAAAAAACGATGAATCCACTTACATAGTCGCTATGGAAATCTACAGTTGGCCGCTAGGACACTGAAAGGTTCTTGGAAGCCCTTCGGCATAAAAAAGCGAGCTCGGTTGAACTCCAAGAAATTACGAGTAAGCCGTGCGCGGAGTGGCTTTTCACACATTTTCTCATTATGGATTGGTCGAGCCGACTCAAGCACAAACAGAGTCCCTCCAACAGTCAACCAAACAGTAGTATCTCTTTGGCAAGTGAAGTCGCTGCCATTCAAAATCAGTAACCAACCTATCGTCCCCCAATCTGGAACAAGATGATAAGCTTTTACGTCAAGTTGGGCGTCGGGCACGGAAACATTTCAGTCGTCGCTTTTGACGAGATTCTAAAACTGCGTCAGTATTACTGGCAATGGTATAAGCATAACCGGTTGCAAAATATCACAGAATGACTCGAGCAGAAAATAAAAACTCTAATCAAGTACCATCGCGACCAGCCAAGCAATCAGAAAACACCAAAACCGAACAACAACTCATTAGACAAATAATATAGACACAGGACAGTGACAAAGTACGAATATACAACCTTCGAAAGCACTAAAATTTAATAGGACAGACTGTTAGCAGATTACGACCACATGACACGTACTGAGGATGAAAGATTGTCATTGGCTGTTTGATCTGATGCTGTTGTCTCTCAAAAATGCGGGAAACATTGCAAAGGAATAACCTTGGACGCGAGCCAGAAGTCAAAGATCTTGAAACGTGCGTTCCAGGTAAGACAAGCGCAGGTTTACAAGACAATACAGAGCAACGGAGTCTCACCAAAGGTAGGCGGGGCTCTGCCTTGCTCACGTATTCTTATGGGCGGTCAGAGGCAAAATTTCCATGTAGGTTCAAAGACAAGCCAGAGACAGGTACAAAAAAATGGTAAGCTGTGCAACAGGTTACCAGGCCGAATAAGAAGATCCGCTCACGGTGGGAACACATGCGTTCGGGTGGACTGGACTTTTAAATGAGCGCAGTCCCAATCGGATCGTACAGGGTCGTCAGGCAGCCACACAGAAGAAAGAGCACAAAGAATGACTGGTAGAGAGGAAGGGAGCATACGGTGAGTGGAAAAATAGAAAGGAACGAAGAAAAGTGGCCAGATAGAGTATAATGAAGGCTAGACTCAAGAATCGCAAACAATTGCTCTACGGGCAAGCAGTTGTGTGCGGTGCATAAGCGCGGCCAACTATGGCGATGGGCATCGAGTAGTAGCATCCACAGACATGTTTGTATGAAATGTTGATTTTAATTTCGTGTTTTATCTGATCCATAAGTCTTCGTCACACACAGAATTTACGATGAAAAGGCAACCCATTAGAAATATGGGTAAAGGTGGTCATTGGTGCAGGGATGAAGGAAAACACCTTTCCCTATTTCCGCATTGATGCGACTCTCATCGGTGCTGCCCTCTTCAACGCTAACGCTCTTTGTGCCGAACGGCTAGGAGCTTGGACGGCGAGGATGGGCGTGCCGCGGCGCTAGCGACGCCGGGACGTCCATGCTGAAGTGTTTCTTTCCAAATAAAAAAGTCCACAACCGTTTGCCTACGTGATATCTCCTCGATCCTCCTCTACATGGCGGAGGTATCAGCGCATGGTTACATACCAATGATAAAGAGATGTTTGGGTCAAGGCAGCAGAAAACATTGCTTGTTCACTGCGAGCTGGCACGCCGCAGCTGAGAATTACTAAGAAAATCCGGCAACAGATACCATCAGAAGCATCAGAAAATACGTCGTATGAATTTTTTTCGGCCGTCGCTACAAATGCTACAGAGGTTCGGCACGACATACGATCGCGGGAAACAGAAGAGAAATAACAATAAAAATTATAAGGTTGTAAAATAAGTTCCATTCAATGATAAAAAATGAATATGTAACAAAATGTAAATGAACCATATAAAACTGCTCAGATAAAACATACCATGGTCAATTCCGTGATACTATTCTGAACTTCAGTAATTAATTGTCTTGTTTCATTGTCACGTTTCATCTCATTCACGTAGGAATTCACATCATCCATTGCTTCCTTTGCCGTCTCCAACGACTTTCGATCAGGTGCATCGATCGGCGTCGATTTGATCATTTCCTAGAAGAACAACACTTACACAACTTATACAAAAAAACATGTTTCTATTCCCTTGGTTCTATATTCGTATATCCTAGGGTTTGACCTCCATTTTCGATTAACACGTTGACGACAGCATGACGCGCATGCGCGTCAGAATTTCACCCGATTCTGGCAGTTTTTTTCGTTTATTTGGCATTTTTCATATTTCAAAAGTGTGCATGCATTATCTTATCCGAAAAACTGTGCATCAATTACCAGTAGTGGAATTATTGAAGAAGTTATGACGATTGTGAAAAAATAAACAAAAAGGTGCCGAATAGAGGGCTGTCGTCAACGTGTCAAATAATCATCTGAATTATAAAGACAAAAGGTGATGATAAATATTAGGATGAAAAGAATGACCTGGGAAAGTTCTACACAATTTTAATTATATTTTTCACAAGAATGCTGGGTTGTGAACAAAACTTTCGCCCCAGGCGGGACTAGAACCCGCACCTCTCGCTTTCCGGGCAAGCAGGGTGAATAACGGTCGAGGAATCCTCGACCATAGCTCTCTACCATGCGAGAGTAGTGCCGAGAGTGAACATCCGCGCGGAGAGCACAGACGGCACGCCCATGGCGAGTGTGAATGTCCGCGCGAGAGATCGTGTCTGATCGGGCAGAGAATCCTCGACGTGCCGTTGAGGAATCCTCAAGCGATATTCACCCTGCTCAAGTGCGCTACAGTTACGCTACCGGGGCACCATTTCATTCCAACTCAGCTTTTCATGGTATACGTACCATAGCTTTCAGCACTCACACGTCTAACGTGTTGAGCCGGTTAGCCGATATCGGCAATGACCGCGAGGCTGAAAGCTTTAGCAACCCAGCATTCTTGTGAAACATTCGCAACGCGAACTGCGGCGTTAAAACAGCAGTTAACAAACAAAACAAGTCAAAATTCATTGCTAAAGCTTTCAGCCTCGCGGTCATTGCCGATATCGGCTAACCGGCTCAACACGTTAGACGTGTGAGTGCTGAAAGCTATGGTACGTATACCATGAAAAGCTGAGTTGGAATGAAATGGTGCCCCGGTAGCGTAACTGGTAGCGCACTTGCCCGGAAAGCGAGAGGTGCGGGTTCTAGTCCCGCCTGGGGCGAAAGTTTTGTTCACAACCCAGCATTCTTGTGAAACATTCGCAACGCGAACTGCGGCGTTAAAACAGCAGTTAACAAACAAAACAAGTCAAAATCCAAAATAATATTTTTAACTTTTTGTTTACTCAATCCTTTTTTAGTTTTTGTTACGATGTCCGATCAACTGTATATTCACGATCTCTGCTACCACCTGCCTCCAAGGTAGCTTCTCAATGCACCATCTTTAAAAAGTGGGCGGCTGCAACTCGAAATAGCGAACGATCTCGTCTTAGAACAGCAATATGGGCGGAAGTGGTGTAGTGGAAAATGGCGCTGCTTATCATGCGCGCGGTCCGGGGATCGAACCCTGGTAGGTGCATAGTCCGGGTCAACCAAGAATTGCATCTCTCCGTGGTTGGTTAACTGTACCAGACTTGTCTGGGAGGATAAAAACACTGACTTGTACATCGGCTGGCCCCCGCAAGTCATTGTATAGGCCACATCGCATTCAAAAAGCCACTGCGAATGTACAAATGGAAGTAGAATGCGTGCCGCATCCCAAAAAGGGATTGATCAACCTCTGAGCAAGTTCTATGTCCTCTTACTCCTTACAAGCCAGGATGAAGGCATTCAAGACTTGAATTACCGTGATTTTCATTTAGTGCTTGACCTGAACAATACGCTGGGTGGAGCAGCAATTCTTAGCTAAGCTTCAAATTCTTTCGGCCGATGTCAGACTTCGGAAATCGAGCGATCGCGGCCACAAATCGCTCGATTGACTGATGCCGCAACGCGACCGCCGACGCTAGCGCTAATCGCTCAATTTGCAAAGTCTGTCATCGGTCTTAGCAGGCTCACTTAGCGCCGTGTGGACGAGCAACGTCATGAAGGAGATAAACACTGTCGTGTTACGAGCGTTTGTGACGAAGTGCGTCAAAAAAAGCTCCACATATCGCAGAGTAGATCACTATCACCACAATGCTGCCTATGTTGAGGGGCTTCAGTTGATCCCCCAATTGTAACAACAATAAAGAGCCCGAGGCAAGGTTGATGTCTGAAGGAAATTTCTCAAGATCGAAACGTGTTGCAGGTGAAGCACGCCCTAACTTGTAATGTCGTTCTCAGTGAACGTTTGCAAACATTGTTGGTGGGCATTGCACAGTCACGATCATGGAGATAATCCTAGTGGATGACTTGGGGAACAGATTGCTTGTGGCTGAAGTTATTCGTATTCTCCCTGATAATTACTGATTGTGGCACCTTCGTATACTCAGTGAAAGGGAACCAGGTGAATAACGGTCGAGGAAATCCTCGACCATGGCTCTGTACTGTGCGAGAGTAGTGCCGAGAGTGAACGTACGCGCGGAGAGCACAGACGGCTCGCGCATGGCGAGTGTGAATGTCCGCGCGGAGAACGTAACTGATCAGGCGAAAATCCTCGACGTGCCGTTGAGGAATCCTCGAGCGATATTCACCCTGATGGAAACTCCAAAAATTAGCCCCCATATATTATTTATCCATAACTTCAACCAATTTTTATGAAAAATAAGAAAATCGATAGAAAATAGTCCCAAATCTAATTTTTTGGACGGGAGCATCTACTTCATCGGCCAACGAGCAATCAAACTTAAAATTTACACCCCGAAAATACAACGCGCTGCCATAGTGAACCACAACTTCGAAGAGACAACAATGATATCAAATAACCATTTCCCTGATAGTGCGAACACAGATGACTGCTCCCATCTCGGAAACAACTTTTGAGACCATCTGTGGGCGATGCTGGCATTTCACGATAGAGCAATGAATCAAGCTCATCCCCGAGTAGGATAAAGCTGCTCACTGAAGTAAATAGAAAAATGTTGGCTCGCGGCTCAAACGTGCGCATCAAGAGAGCTAGGGTGTTGTCAATTGGATGGAGTCGTTTGCAGTTGCTATTCACAATGTAACGGTCAAAGCAACAAGGCGTCTGTGTCTCGTACATTCCTTGTGCTCTCTTGCTCGTTCACCTCGGCGCCCAGTGACTCTTTGTCATAGTGCTATCCACTCCTCTGTGAGTCTCATAGTTTAAGTGCCTTCAATGATTCTTTTGTTTTAATTTCTCAATACCGCTCAAGTTCCTATACAACAGTCACCCCATTTTCATAGTGCCGTGTCCCTTTAATCACGGCATAATCAAACAAGTTTTCAGGGTCTATTTTTTAGTCTCCAAGGTCGATAATAAAGAAGAATAAATAACTTGCTGTTCATCAAACCCTATTCAGGGCAGCATGCTCCTTCGGAGCTCTTTGGAGCTTCCTCTGGAGACGAAGCTTTACTATGCATCCTCACCATTGCCAACCATTCCACATATTAGATCACCCTAGAACCACCCTCCTCCTGACCAACAGTATTAAATGCAATTATGTACTCCACTTTACCCTTACTATAACCCGTTACTGTCATGCTGTTGCTACACCATTTACTGTCTTCTTCAAATTCTCTAGAACCGTGTTCACTGACTACAATGCTACAATTTTTACAACATCCTTAGCAAATCCTAGCGCACAATTTTCTCTAAGGTGAAATTTTCAGAGCTTGCTATCGATCCTTATCACCTCTTTCGTTAACTACAGGGATGCCTTTTCAGTGTAGCAGGAAAAATGAGAACACTAAGACGTGAAGTAGAGTACAAGGAACTGTTGCAGCGCCATATCTTGAGCGTCGCATTCATATTAACTTGAAACAACCTGAAGCAACAGACCTAGGATTAAGTTGGTAGGGTACAGAGCTCAATAATAAAGAGGGGCGCGGAAATAACTGGTAAAAGAAATGGGCAAAAAAGAAACGGCCGATACCCTCTCGTCCACACCGGGATCAGAAAAGTGCGTGCTTGACGAGCTTCATTTATTCACTTATTCTTTTATTTATTTATCTATTTATTTGATTTCTGAACTTTTATATCGCAGCTTTGCGATCGATAAACGCTTTGACGTAGGAATTCGCAACACGCTAACGTTACCGCTTATCTTTTCATCACGCTCGCACCAGGCTTGCACAAAAGCTGCAAAGGGGGGCGGGGCCTTGCACACAGCTCCTTTTTGTCGGGGTTTTCTGCATAGGGGCTCTTTTCTCCCTCTTCCTTTGGGTAAGAACCTTAGTTCATCCCCAGTTCCTCTTCTCAGATCTTGAGCTTCGCATCCGTAGGTCCTACTTTCTCTTTTGTCATCGTAGTTCAAGATGAGCTCTTTTTTGTGCCTTTTCGTGCCTTTTTGAGAAGGGTTTTTCTCCATACTTCTATAGTTGTTCAATTCAAGCTTGCTTTCGTTGTACTCACTTATTTCCAACCTTCTTACTAAGGATTTATATAAATACTCGTAGTTCATGTCCTATTTTGAACTTTTCGTACGTCATGTGTTTTTTTATGTTTTCGCATAACTTTTGATCTACTTAGATATCGTTTAATTACCCAAGTTTGAGATTCTGGCGAGACGATTTGTTGGTGGATAAAGTTGTAGCGGATTGGTGTGCTGCAGTTGCAAAAAATCGTATTCGCGTGGCAGTATTTGTGATATATCCGAAGAACAACCACTGAACCGCCTTATTTTACAGCTTTCAAAACGTATTGGCAGCATGCCAACAATCGATGTATTTATTAGAGTAGAACAATTCCCTTCTACAATAATACACCCAACGACCATGAACCACAGACTTGCGCGATCGGAATGAGCCGCTATGTCGTACCACGTTGTATGCTATGGGGTGAGCTCGAGGAATTTTGTCCATTTGCTCAGATTTGCTGTAGGGCTTTAGTACTCTGGTCGCGCATTCTCTAGCCGCGACGACGGCACTTCTGTAATCCTGGACTCACAGTTTAATCTCACCCAGGAAAGTCTGGCTCGCATAACCCTATCCTGAGTAGCTTTGAAGGCGGAAGTTGCGAAAATTTCTTAATATCGCTCAAGTTCCTATACAATAATTACCCCACTCTGATAGCGGAAGATAGGGAGTTGTGCCTTCTACAAAGGGACGCCGAGCCCCCAAGGAACCGAAGAACAGGCTTGCATCGCGGTGAAGGGCTCGCCACTGCAGTCCAGAAAACCCCAACCCTGGAAGATCTCACATGCCGTGGTGGGTCAGAAACCGGAGAAAAGTGGATATAAGCTAGGGTGGGGGGTTCAAGTGAATGAAGTGTAGGCCGTGCCACAAAGTAGACGGTGTTGCCATTAAATTTATAAATTGCTTCCCGAATTAACTAAAGGGGTAAGAGTGTATAGAGGCTCGCAAGGAAGAAAATCGCATCTCGCAGAGATCAAATACCAAATGAGAAAGCCGTGCGCCAAAGTGGACGGAGTTTGACAGAAAACATGACTCCATTCTGAGGTTGCTGGAGACCGGGAAAATGTGTTCAGAGGCTTGTGAGGATGAAAAGATCAATTTCTAAATGTGGGCGGTTCGTGCGCCCTCTCTTTCGGGGTTGCCCTTCCCTCGATCAACATCCCATACCCACGCCTTAATTAATGAGAACATCTAGCTGCTCCGTTAACACGTAACGGACGGCCAGTGTATTATTCGCATGCGCCACCTTGTGGCG